TTTTTTTTTTGTTCTGGACATAGAAATAAGACAAAGCACTTGAATTAGACGAGAGAATTTTAGCAATGTTACCTCATTAATTTTTTTCTTCAATCGATTAACATTAAACTATTAAAATTTATTGAATAAAATATTATAAAAAAGATTCTCAAAATTTCAAAGTAAACGCGTTTTCAAATTTTCTATTTTGAGAAACAGTTTTTCAGAATAATAAAGAAAACGAGTTTTCAACAATTTCAAAACGAATACTCAAAACAGAAAACACAAAATGAATTCAAAACTCAAAACACAAAATTGAAATACGAAGAGAACGGCCCCTAATCTACTCTTTTACAGCTTTTTGTTTTGGTTTTATTTATTTTTATTTTTTGGATTTTGAATTTTGTCCTACTATTGCCTGCAAGATAGAGGCCTTGTTTGATCCACATTATTTTTTTTTCATTCTCATTTTTCTACTCATTTTCAATCGCACATTCTTCAATAAAATAATATTTTTCATCACATCAATAACTTTTTCTTCTTTTTCAACCACATATTTTCCATCACATCAACAGTAAAGATGCATTTTACCTTCAAAATGTGCACCAAATGGAGGCAGAGAATGAAAATTGACCTAATTCTTTCTTTTTTTATTGGTAAATGTAAAATTCAACTGATCAAAATCCACGTGCAAGTACATCGGACATAGCTGGACAAATCTAAATCAAGGGACTCATAAAACTACTCCGGACATTTTCGGGCAAAAGGACAGATTGCAACACTTGGACATTGATTGGATTGTGTTCTTTGCAGACATACTATGGAGACAGGCCAGCACCTATTCTTTCTATGTTCATTCACCTCATTGATATGGGGACGGATTCGACAATGGATTGGTCTGAGGCGGTCTATGTCTACAATATCTAGTGTATTGATGTGGATTAAAAAGAAGGCTCGTGGGATATCTTGGCAAAGCAAAGCTAAAAGGATTGAACTTGCTTGCACCGCTTGAAATGGCACAATGATGAAGTCCATTATTGCTAATTGGGTTATTATTGGGCTGGCTTTGCTGTGGGTTGAATCCTATTATGTTACTTGATGACTGTTGCGTTATTTTCTGTGGAAACGTGTTTGATAAAAATGCAACTTCCTTTACTAAAATTGGGCAGCCCTGATGTTGCCAAGCGTCACCCCAATTACCATTGGATGCAGACCTTCGAGTGACTTCTATTATCCGTTGATTTGGCTAGGGTTTGAGTGCTTTTATTCATTCATTCTCTCTCTGTTCGTTTGGATTTCTCCTCTGTCTTCTTCTCTTTTTCACTCAATATACAGAAAGCTATAGTTTGATCTGATGTATCAACTTTTTATAGATCTTTAGTGATTTATATATGTGTGTAGATAGTTGTTCTCGAGTGAACGACTTGCTTAGATTGAAAGGCTTTTGTTGAGAAATCTTGAATGATTTTTTGAGTGCTTCAAGAGTAAGCTGTACAGTTCATTGATTCCGGTTAATATAGTGATTTCTTCCGGTTTGGCAGAAGGTCAATGGGGATTAGGAACTCCGGTTCTGAACCTCTTGCCTTATGGCAAAAAATCTTGTGTTCTTTACTGTTTTCTTGTTGATTTTGCACATTTACTTTCTGTTTTGTTGATTTAAAATGACTATTCTTTTGAACTTACTCCTTACACACCGTTTACCATATTTGGACAACAAGAAATAGGAGAATTTTTTATTATCTAAGATTACATGTGAATAGCATTGTTAGACGAATCAAAACACACGTATACAAAGTTATGTTTTCTTTGTATCTGAATGTTTTAATTCAATATGAATATTTTGAGATGTATATATATTGTTTGTTGAGTAGTTTGGCTTGAGCACTTAATCAAAGCATAAACGAGTGTTTCGATGTAATGAAAGGTTTCCAAACATCGGCTGCCCATGCATTGGATGCCTCTTTCAGCCGGAAAAAAATCATATTAGCTGTGTAAAAACCTTCCCATTAGCCCAGGTCGCGATTCTGGTCATAGCAACTCGGGCTACCTGAACTTTTGGTTCAGTTTGTCCCTGTAGCTGCCTGGACATTGGCAGCCTGCTATCTCCATGCATCTGCTTGATCAATCTGAGCAGGTTGTCCCAGCTTGTCCCTAATCTCCAGCAATTTTTTAAGCAGTGGAGAGTAATTCTTCCTTGGTAAAACTTCCCACTCACTTGCCCCTTTAAGATAAATCTAATTTACCCAACGTCCATAGTGTATCCTTCTTTTGATGAATCTTCCAAAGGGATTTTGCAAGTAATGCCGCGTTCCAACTTTTTAAGTCTCTAAAGCCAAGGCCACCTTCGAT